AGCCCGACTTTTATTAGTTGGTAGGCAAACCTCCAAGCCCAGACCTCTAAAGCCCTAAACCTCCAAAGGGGAAGGCTTTTCCTTTTCCTTCCTTCTCCACAGGCTTGCCCTGCTCTGCTCAGGTAGGCAGGCGCCTCCTGCTGTCTCTCTCTTCACTCTCAGCTGCTCAGAACCCAATCTATATATATGCTGTGCCCTGCCCCCACTCCAATGGCTCCTCCAACCGCTAATGATTTCAACCACCACTCACTTCCCACCAAGATGCCCACAGTCAAATCACTTGACAGCTTGACAGCTCTTGATGGCATGCCCCATTGGGCGGTGATATCAGCCTCTCAATGTCCCGCCCCCTCTGGTGGCCCGGTCCTTGGAGCAGTGATGTCAGCCTTGACACAGGGCTATGATGGGGTTATTACAAGATACAAATGACACTATCTATGCTGGACTCATTTTCACTTACAAAACTTAAGTTACTGCCACTAACTGCAGAAAATGTGAACTTGTATGGATATGGGATTTTTACCTAGGCAAATGGAAGGATCATGCAACAAGAACTCTAAAATTTAAGAGAATGAAATATCTTTGAAACATCTTTTGACACCAACGAAGTAAACTCAAACAAATAATAAAATACTATTAAAATTACTAGGATTTAAAGACATGCTTGTTCAACACTGTGTGTGTTTGCTGGCTTGAACTCAGCCTCATTCTCATTTTTGTTCAAGGCTGGCACTCTGCCACTTGAGCCACATCTCCACTTTCAGCTTTTTGGTGGTTAATTGGAAATAGAATCTCAAGTACTTTCTTGCCTGGGCTGGCTTCAAATCTAAATTGCAGTCCTCAGATCTCAGACTCCTGTGTAGCTAAGATCATAGGCATAAATCACCCATGGACACCCAGCTTCAGTGGAGGATTTAAGATCTTATCTTACCTGCAATTAGAGAAATGCTAGTCTCCTTAACCAGAGATCATGCCAATTCATCCCCAGCAAGAACAGCAGCCAGAAAACCATCATCTTAGGTCTCCCACCCCTGCAGATGAACAAAGGCCAGGTTGTAGGACTCTTCATGTACGGTAGATTGTTAGGGAAAGGGACTGCCTCTACTTACATAGAAATAGGAACATCTAGCCAAGCACCAATGGCTGACACCTGTAATCCTAGCTACTCAGGAGGCTGAGATCTGAGGATCATGCTTCAAAGCCAGCCCAGACAGGAAAGTCCATGAGACTCTTATCTCCAATAAACCACTCAGAAAACTGAAGTGGTGCTGTAGCTCAAGCAGTAGAGCGCTCGCCTTGAGCTGAAGAGCTGAGGGATGGTGCCCAAGCCCAGAGTTCAAGCCCCACAACTGACAAGAAATAGGAACATCTACCACTCTTCCAAGAAAGGGTGCTTGGAATGTGAATAAATCTCTGGAAAAAATACATTCCTGTCTCTTATTTTATAACCTGAGTTTTTCTCTCCTTTGAAATGTAAACACACAGGAAGACAATGTTCAGATTCCCTCCAGTCTCTGCAGTAGTCTTCCATGTTAACCCAAGTCTATTCTGGGGATATTTTGCTCCTAAGGAGATGGAAAGTTTTACCACAAGGAGACAAATAGCTTCATCTTTAAAGCCTCAGCCTTCCTGCTGGAGTAGTATCAGCCTACTGGTGCTATTAAATGACAGACTGGGTGGTGCATAAACATTTTATCTCCCCACAGTTCTGTAGGCTTGAAAAGTTCAATATCAAGCTGATGAGGAATAAGGCACTATTGCTGATGAGCCTTATTGCTGTACCCTCATGTGGCAAAACCAAAAAAACTAACAAAACTGTCAAGTTCTCCACTCGGGAAATACACTCATGACTCACCATCTAGTGCAAATAAGGCCTTATGTGACATGAGGGACATACGGAGAAGTGATGTAGCACTCCTCCCTTGCCCAGCTGAAGGACTGTCAGTGGAGGCCTCTACCCAGCAATAATGAAGCCTACTGTCAAAGGCAGCTCATGTAGAAGTAAGACAGGAACCTCTTCCCTTGAAGGGAGTTTCAGAGAAGACCTGAGAAAAGATTGTAATAAGTTCCAAAACTTCCTAATACCAAAATACCTGTGCAATTAAAAAAAAAAGTCATAGCTTGATATGGTAGTTCACATCTCTTAACTACCCAAGAGGCACAGGTAGGCAAATCATAGTCTGAGGCCAGCCCAGACAAACTCAAGATATATATAAAGATATATAGACATATATGTAAAATAATACATTACATACACACACACACACACACACACACATATATATGTATATATATATATATATATATATACCTATGTATAAAATCTAAAGAAAAAAAGATGGATGGTTCAAGTAGTAGAGTACATGTCCAGCAAGTGCACCACTGAATTCAAACCCAAGTACATGCAAAAAATAAATTATCACTTGTAGGGACTGCGGCCAGTGATGCATGCTTGTAATTCCAGCTATTCAGGAGGCAGAGATCAGGTCTGAAGTTCAAGGTCAGCTCAGACAAAAAAACAACAAAACTCTCATTTCAACAGACAAGCTGAGTATCGTGATATGGATCTATAATCCAACTGCATGGGGGTATAGGAAGGAAGACACTCCAATCCCCAAAATACAGTTAAATCGGTGGCATGGTAAAGCACTTGCTTAACAAGTAAGTGCATGTTTGTAAAATACAATAGATGTTGCATTATGGTTAACTCTAAATAATGTCGCAAGATTTTCTTAAAGACTCCCCACAAAGACAAGAGACCCAGAAGGTTTTACTGATGAAAAATATTAAACACCTCACAGAAAGCTAGAAAGAAAAGGAAAACTCAACTCTTTCTAAGTACAGCATAAACCTTAAACTAAATTTTAATTGCAAAGTAGTTTTCATCTGTATTGTTCCACGATTTGTTTACAGCTCATCAGTTGATACTAGTTGTTTCTAGTTTTTTACTATAGCAATAGAGTAGAGGTGGATAGTTAGGATCTTCTTTCCCCCCTTATACCAGTACTGGGGCTTGAACTCAAGGCCTCACACCCTTGCTTGGCTCTTGTACTCAAGGCTGGCACTCTACCACTGTAGTCACAGCTCCATTTCCATTTTTTCTTTTGATGACTAATTGGAGATACATGCCTGGGTAGCTAGGATTACAATGTGTGTTTGTTAACCAGAAAGACTATTCAAGCCCTGCACCATCGGCTCATGTTCATAATCCTAGCTACTCAGGAGGCTGAGTTCTGAGGACCACAGTTTGAAACCACGCCTAGACAGTAAAGTCCCTGACTCTTATCTCCAATTAATGAGCAAAAAGCCAGAAGTGGAAATGTGGTTCAAAGTAGTAGAGTACTAGCTTTAAGCAAAAAAGCTGAAACAGCACACATAAGCGCACAGACCTAATGCTGGCAAAGGCAATTGTTGGGTTTTGTACTTTCATGTTAGTGATGCTAATACCTCCTAATTCAGTTAAATATCCTTTTGTTATGGGTAATAAGGTTTGAACTTACAGTCTCTCAGTTGGCTAGTCTGGCACTCTACAACCTGAGCCCTGCTTTTACCTGGTTATTTTAAATCTGTCTAGCAAACTTTTCTACCCTAGCTGGTCTCACATCTCAGTCCTCAGATCTCAATTTCCTGAGCTGCAAGGATTACAGGCATGAGCCACTGGTGCCAGCTTGTCCACCTATGGAAAAAAAATGTCATTTTACGAGTACATTTAATTTGGAAAGCTTTTCCCACTTAAATCATTTATTTCTGAAGATAAGCAAAACTAATATTGCACCACAAGACCCCAGGGTATAATCTCATATGTAAACCAATACTCCCCAAATCTAGGTTGATAGTTTTTTGTTGTTTTTTTTTGGGGGGGGGTCCAGTCGTGGGGCCTGAACTCTGGGCCTGGGCGCTGTCCCTCAGCTCTTCAGCTCAAGGCTAGCGCTCTACCACTTGACCCACAGCGCCACTTCCGGCTTTTTTCTTTTTGCTTATATGGTGCTGAGGAATCGAACCCAGGGCCTCAGGCATTCAAGGCAAGGGCTCTACCACTGAGCCACCTTCCCAGCCCCTAGGTTGATAGTCTTAATTGCAACACTTATTCAAAATAACATTTCATATCACATCTCTGGGCCAGATACTTTCCTCCCAGGCCAAGAAAAAGAAAAGCAGCAGCAAGAGCAGTGGCATATGTGTTTAAGTATGTGGGCGACCAGAGCCCCACATTTCGACATCATTTTACTGTTATAATGAAGCTGTTGTACAAAGGGGGTCCTGTTTGTTTTCATAAGACTCGGGTCTGGAGGCTCACATGGTGACAGTTTTGCTCTTTCAGTTCCAGGATAAGGTGGCGATCCATCCCCGGTAGGATCCAAGCGCTGGCTGGGGGTTAGGACCACTTCTTGGTGACGTTGAGATGGCTGAGCTGGTCGGCCACGTATCTATGCGGGGGAAACTTGGAGGTGGCGGCCGCCTTGATGGCCTCGAAGGCCTGGGCCCTGCGCTCGGCGGCGTGGCCGTACTCCTGCTCCGCCGTCAGGTAAGGCATGCTCAGCCAGTAGTGGTTCTCGCTCTCCATCTCCAAGCGACGGATCATCCTCTGCTTCGCCCCCGAGGACACGAAGCGCGGCCGCCGGTGCTTCCCGGTCCACTGCCGGCCCGGAATGCGGCCGCGGCGGAGGAGGGCCGTGAGGAACATGGCGGCGGGCTGAGGAGACACGGAGCTGGAGGCCGCCGGGCCGGACTAGGCCGGGCGAGCCACCGGGGCTCACACACGCCAGGAGGGGACGGCGGCCCACAGACACTGGAGGACTCCTCAACCGGAAGGCAGGGGAGGAGATCTTCCACACCACCCACTAAGCCCAGCCACTCACCGGCAGCCGTCCACCGGAACCCACGCTCCTCCCGCCGACGCACTACAGCAAGGTCGGCGGCTCTCAGCAATCTCCGGCTCCTTTACGCGGGATTTCAACCGTCGCGAGAGTTTTGCGCACGCGCACACCCAGGGGCGTCGCTGCCCGGACCCATAGAAGAATTTTGCGCATGCGCGCACTTGGGACGCCCGCGCTGCGACCTATTTCAAACCAGTGGCGCCTTCCCTCCGAGCGGTTCCCCGGAGGCTTCCTCACCCCAAATCCCCTCTCCGCGCTCCCTGACCCATGGACCCGATTCGGAGTTTCTGCGGGAAGCTGCGGACGCTGGCTAGCACGCTGGACGATGAGACGGCCCGGCTCCAGCGAGCTCTGGACGGGGAGGAGAACGGTGAGTGGGGCGCGGGCCGGGCTCCGGCTCTGCCCCGCCCCCCGCCCGCTGGGCCGCGGCTCTGCGGCGGCCCGAGCTGAACCGACGAGCCGGACGGCCTACTCGGGTGTAGAGGGGTGAGCAGTGCGTTCGGTGCCGGTCCTGGTGGCCTCGCGTCGGCCTGGGTTCTGTTTCTGAGCTTTAGCCCTCGGCCCCTTGAGCCACAGCGCCACTTCCGGTTTTGTGGTGGGTTATGGGAGATAAGAGTCTCACGGACTTTGCTGTCCCAACTGGCCTTGAGCCAAGGTCCTCAGATCTCAGCCTCCTAAGCAGCTGGATGACAGGCGTGTGCACCAGCACCCGGCAAGTGGCATGATTTTAATATCCTTAAGTGTTGAATCCTAAAAACCCTAGGTTCCTTATATCTTCTAACCATTTGAAAATGTTTTTGTGACTGTAAAAATAACATGTGCTTCGTACGAAACGTTAGCTTTAGACAAGTAAAAGAAAGAAACTAGCTGAACCAGTGGCTCACACCTGTAATCCTAGCTACTCTGGGCCTGGCTGCTGTCCCTCAGCTCATCAGCTCAATGTGAGCACTTTACCACTTGAGCCACAGTGCCACTTCCAGCTTTCTGAGTGGTTTATTGGAGATAAGTGTTCCCTGGACTTTTCTGTCCCAGATGGATTTGAACTATGATCCCCAGACCTCAGCCTCCTGAGTAGCTGGGATTATAGGTGTGAGCCACTGGTGCCCAGCTCTTTTTGTTTTTTGAGCAAGGATTTACTATGAGGATTTTATAATTCTAAGAAACTACAATAAGGGCCTGGGAATGTAGTTTAGTAGTGGAGTGCTTGTCTTGCACACATGAAGCCCTGGGTTCAGTTCTTCAGTGCCACATAAATAGATAAAGCTGGAAGTGGCACTGTAGAGAGCCTTGAGCAAAAGAAGCTCAGGGACAGTGCCCAGGCCCTGCGTTCAAGCCCCAGGACTGGCAAAAAAAAAAAGAAAAGCTACATTAAATTTTCTATTTTTCTTTTACTTATTGGACTTTTTTTTGTTTGTTTTCCACATTCATATTGAAGATTTTGAAGATTATCCAATGAGAATTTTATATGACCTTCATTCAGAAGTCCAGAATCTGAAGGTATCATCACTACAGTATTGGTTTATTATTTTTCTTTGGTGAATTATTTTTTAAGCTTAAACTTAGAAATTATATAATGTACTTTCTCTTCTCATAAAAGGATGATGTCAATATTCTTCTGAATAAAGCAAAATTGCAAAGTCAAGAGAATACTGGATTCATAAAGGCAGCAAAAGTACTGATGAAAAAAAATTCAACAGATATCATAAAAATAAGAGAGTTTTTTGAGAAGTATGGATATGAGCCACGTGTCAAAGAAAATTCAGGTTTGACTAATATTTATTTATAGTATTAGGTATACTATTAAGGAAGGCAATATGATTAAGATAGCTTATAGGCTTGGCCTGTGGCTTTTGTTCTGGTTCTACCTATATGCTTGTCATTCAATAATCAGTAAACAATACTCCATAGTGCAGTATAGATCACAAATTTGAGGCCATCCTGGGCTGCATAGCAAGATTGTCAAAATACATATACACATATACATAGTCCTTGCTCTCTTCACAGTGTTAAATGAACATAAACATCCTTTTAAATGAAAGAATTGTTTGAATAATTTCATTTGGAAAGAACAAGGTAAATCTATATGACAGAGTAGGTTAGGTCTAGTCTGCTCTGCTAGTGAACAGTTGAAGAACCTTAAGCAGGCTATTTTACTTTTCTGTGTTCAGTTTCCTCTTCTATTGAGTGAGAGATTTTTCACCTAAGTTGGTAGTCCTTTTTTAGGTTTTGTTTTGTTTTTGTCAGTCATGGGGATTGAACTCAGGATCTAGGCACTGTCCCAAGCTCTTCAGCTCAAGCAAGCACTGTAACACTTGAACCACAGAGCCACTTCCAGTTTTCTGGTGGTTAATTGGAGATACCAGTCTCACTGACTTTCCTGCCAGGGCTGGCTTTGAACCAAGATCCTCAGATCTCAGCCACCTGAGATTACATGTGTGAGCCACCCATGTCCGTCTTAGTTTTAAATTTTAAATTTTTAACAGAAGGTCAATAGTATAGCATAGTGGCTTAGAATTGAGAGTCAAAGGTCCATATTGTGGTATATGCCTATAATCCCAGCTGCTTGGGAGTCTGATGACAGGATTGGCTACCTAGTAAGATCTTATCATAGAGAAGCTAAATTGCCTCAATTAAGCATCAAATTTTAGTTCAAATTTCTACCACTACTACTTGATGTATTACTTTTGCAAATTGATTAAGGTTGTGTCATAGTTTCTTACCTGTCTGGTGGGAGTATTTAATATAGCTACTAAGTGGGGTTGTATGAGGACTAAATGAGATAAAATTTCCATAGAGCAATGCTGGGCATGTTAAGCATCAACTTCTTGGTTCTACCGAATCTGGATAATCTCTGGCTTTAATATATGTCTGTGTCTTTATGGAAGCCATCACATAAATAAAACATCAGTTCAACAAGTCCATATTGAGTATGTGTGTTTCCTCACTGTCTCAGCTAGGCTTTTGATAAACAAGCTCCCAAACTCATGGAAGATAAGTCAGTCTATTTTTGTAGACCATTCTTTTTTTTTTTTTTTTTTTAGGCATCAGTAACTTGAGAATTAAAATAATATACTTTGCTAAATCTAAAATAGTTTATTCTACATTTAATTCTATACTATTTAATAATAGAATAATTTCAGAAAAAAAAAAAATTTTTGTTGTTGTCCGTTGTAGGGCTTGAACCCAGGGCCTAGGTATTGTCCCTGAGCCTTTTTGTGCTCAAGACTAGCACTCTGCCAATTAAGCCACAGCTCAACTTCCCGATTTTTGACTGGTTAATTGGAGATAAGAGTCTCACAGGGATTCTTCTACCCAGGCTGCATTCAAACCACGATCTTCAGCTCTCAACCTCCTGAGTACCTAGAATTACAGGTGTAAGCCAGCGGCATCTGTCTTCAGAAAATACTTTTAAAAGACTGTCGATAGGGGCTGGGAATGTGGTCTATTGGTAGAGTACTTGCCTAGCATGCATGAAGTCCTGAGTTTGATTCCTCAGTATCACATGACCAGGAAAAGCCAGAAAGTGGCACTATGGCTCAAGTGGTAGAGCAAAAGAAGCTTGCAAACAGTACCCAAGCCCTCAGTTCAGGCCCCAAGACTGGCACTGAAAACAAAACAAACAAAAGAACCTGATGATTATATTGAAGCAGTAAGGAATTTTATGTGTAGGTATTGATTTTCTAAAGCGCTGTTTTCTCTCCTGTAGCATCAGAATGAAGTATGACTAGACAAGAAGTACATGTCAGAAATTTGTTGAAGTAACACTTGGACATTTTCAGAAAATCAACACTTAGGCTGATTTGGGAAAGTTTCCAAACAAATTTGTGGCTTTTTTATAAGTATGACATTTTGCCTGCTTATGTTTGACCAAAATGTTCCTCTTTGATTTCATATAGTATGTGAGAAAGAAGTCACTGACCCTTCCCTGGAGCTGGCTGAAACCAAGCATCTTCCAACACCTGATAGGAAGGCAGAGCTCTCTGATCCTTTGGTTTCTGAGAAGCATCTTCGTAGTCCACAGCTTTCTGATTTTGGACTTGAGCGGTACATGATACCCCAAGTTCTACTAAAGCCTCAGCAAGCAGTGGACAACCATAAAGAAGAGCACACCATTGACACTCCACCAACTACACACCCTCTAGTTAAAGTGCCTACAACTCCCAAATGCACTCTCAATATGGACAACTTTGAGTGTGTAACTCCTAAATTGGAACACTTTGGTATCTCTGAAGACTCTATGTGTTTAAATGAAGATTACACAATGGGCCTTAAAAAAATGATGAATAGTAAAAGGTAAGAAACTTTCTTATAATGTATAATTTTATCTATCTTGCTGAAACTTTTGCATTTATTGATACTGTCCCCCATAGGAGAAATACAATGAGCCAGGCACCAGTGGCTCACCTGTAATCCTAGCTACTCAGGAGGCTGAGATCTGAGGATCACAGTCAGAGCCAGCCCCAGCAGAAAAGTCCCCATCAGACTTTAATCTCCAATTAACCATTCAAACCCTCAAACCGGAAGTGGCTCTGTGGCTCAATTGGTAGAGTGCTAACCTTAAACCTTAAGTACAAAGAAGCTCATGGACAGCACCCAGGCCATTAGTTCAAGACCCACAACTGACAAAAAATAAAAAAGAAATACAATGTTTTAGCCACAGCACCACTTCGGGGTTTTGCTGCTTATGTGGTGCTGAGGAATCTAACCTAGGGCCTCATGCATGCGAGGCAAGCATTCTACCACTGAGCTATCTTCCCAGCCCTAGACATTGTTCTTCCCTTTACAAAGTTCTCAGATATTTTATTTATCTTAATTTTTTTTTAATGTATTGTACCCATCTTGGAGCTTAAATGCAGGGCCTGGGCACTGTCACTGAGCTTTTTTGCATAAGACTAGCACTACCACTTAAGCCACAGCTCCATGTCTGACTTTTTGGTGGTTAATTGGAGATAGGAGTCTAATGGACTTTTCCTGCCTAGGCTGGCTTCAAACTGGGACCTTCAGATCGCAGTCTCTTAAATAGCTAGGATTCCAGGTATGAGCCATCAGTGCCTAGCTTATTTTGTTTTTGGGGTCCAACACTAGGATTTGAACTCGGGGCTTTGTGTTTGTTAGCAGGTGCTTTGTAAGTTTGTCATACCTCTAAACACTCAGATTGTAAATGTCAGGAATCATAAATTCATCAACAAAGTGTGCTATTAGCAGGCACTGAGATTTGAGGGTCCCTTGGTTGAAAGTCAGACTCTTAGCTCCAATTAATGAACAAAGAGCTAGTGGAGCTGTGTCTCAAATGGTAGAGAATCAGCCTTGAGCAAAAAAATCTAAGCGAGGACTCAAGGCTCTGAGTTCAAGCTCCAGGACCAGCATACACAGGCACAAAAGTGTGAGCTATTGATTTTCTCAGGTGATAAGCTATAGAAGGAGTGTTAAAAGCCTGAAAATTTTGTAAGGATGGAAGGAGAAGATAAATACATGGTGTGAAACTAGTAAGACTATATGGCTGCTTTGGTATGGATACTTGGAAAGACAAGAGATCAAAGCTTAACCTCAGATTTCTGTTTTATTGCCCAGGATAAAACCACAGAAAACCGGTAAGAATTCCTACCATTTATCGGCTGCTACTGTCTCATGCCTGTAATCCTAGCTACTCAGGCTGAGGGTTGTGGTTAAAAGCCAGCCCTGGCAAGAAAGTCTATAAGACTTATCTTCAATTAACCAGCAGAAAACCAAAAGTAGAGCTGTGAAAGTGGTAGAGCACTAGCCTTGAGCAAAAAATGCTGAAGAAGGGCTGGGAAGGTGGCTCAGTGGTAGAATGCTTATTACCTTGCATGCATGAGGCCCTGGGTTCGATTCCTCAGCACCACATAAGCCAAAAGAAAAAAAGCTGGAAGTGGCACTGTGGCTCAAGTAGTAGAGCGCTAGCCTTGAGCTGAGAGCTGAGGGACAGCGCCCAGGCCCAGTGTTCAGGCCCCATGACCAGACCCCCCCCCCCCCCCAAAAAAAAATGCTGAAGGATAGCACCCACACCCTGAGTTCAAGCCCCATGACCAACCAAAAAACCCAAGCAGACCACAAAATGGTTAGCTTTGAGCCACAGGTAAGTAGGTAGGTAGGTAGGTAAGTAGGTAAAGAAGGAACCAAGATTTTTTTTTAATTGGTTGTGGGGCTTGAACTCAGGGCCTAGGTGCTATCCCCGAGCCTCTTTGTGCTCAAGTATACTGCTTTACCACTTGAATCACAGTGCCACTTCCAGTTTTTGAGTGGTTAACTGGAGATAAGAGTTTCACAGGGACTTTTCAGCCCAGGCTGGCCTTGAACCATAATCCTTAGATCTTAGCCTCCTGAGTAGCTAGGATTAAAGGCATGAGCCACCATCGCCTAGCACAAAGATTGATTTTCAAAAAGATTTTCTCATGGACCTTTTATTCCCAAATTTAACTATAGTGAGATTAAATTTTTTTTCCTAATGGTTAAACGTTAACTCTTATTTCTTCTTGAATTTTACCAGTGAGGAGGCCACAAGAACAGAACCTGTGACTGATGACAACTTTCTGGCCACTCGGGGCTCCATAATCCAGCAGCTGGAAAAAAGTGGTAAGTTTAAAACTCAGCTTCTAGGGTCTGGGAAGGTGGCTCATGCCTTGCATGCATGAGGCCCTGGATTCAATTCCTCAGCACCACATAAGCAGAAAAAGCTGGAAGTGGCACTGTGGCTCAAGTAGTAGAGCACTAGCCTTGAGCTGAAGAGCTGATGGACAGCGCCCAGTCCCAGAGTTCAGGCCCCACAACCAACCAAAACAAAACAAAAACAAAAACACATCTTCTAAGCGGTACTCTGCCCAGACTATCTTTGTACAGAAATGGCTTCATTGCCTTGGTATTTTCACTATCTGTGACATTGCATTTTATTAAGTACTAGTCAAATTCAGTATTTGTCAGCTTTTTTCTAATATTTTAAAACAAACAAATTCCACTGTGGAGAAAATGAACTATGCAACTATGGACAGGACAGGAGAGGAAAATGAGGAGAAGCAAAGGAAGGGATGACATTGTCCAAATATACACATTACCTGAATCATGAAATTGTAACCCCTCTGAACACACCTTAATAATAACAATAAAATTATGTTAAAAAATAAAACCTGAAAAATGTATCCTGAAGAGGTAGAGGAAGGAGAATTGTGAGATTGAGGCCAGTCTGAGCTTCATAGCAAGTTCAGAGCCAGTTTGGGTTATGTGACAAACAAAAGTAAACTTTTTTTTTTTTTGGGGGGGGGGGGGGGTCCGGTTGTGGGGCCTGAACTTGGGGCCTAGGTGCTGTCCCCCAGCTCTTCAGCTCAAGGCTAGCGTTCTACCACTTGAGCCACAGCGCCACTTCCGGCTTTTTTTTTCTTTTTTACTTATGTGGTGCTAAGGAATCGAACCCAGGGCCTCAGGCATGCAAGGAAAGCACTCTACCACTGAGCCACCTTCCCAGCCCAAGTAAACATTTTTTTAAATGTAACACCATAGTGCTTTTTGTTCATTTACTTTAAATCTGCTGCTTCAAATTGTATGTTGTCTTTCTTGAGCCACATCTAGATTACACTAGCTAAGCATTTCAAATTTGGGAGTTTTTGTTTTTAGTTCAATAACTATTTTCAATATTTCAGGCACTGTTTGTCTATTTGTCCCAGCAAACATGGGATATGAAATTAAAAAATTCTACAGTTGTTAAAATTCTAGTAACTAATTTTTCAAATTCACTAATCTGTACCAAACTTAATGGCAAATGTTTAAAAATGACTGGTCTTTGCCAGACCTATCCATAGTTTTGGACATACTTTTCTTTGGGTTGCTTCAGCACAAAGCAGTATTTCTTCAGCCATTAATGTTTGTTGCTGTTCATGTCCTTGCAGCCTTTATCTTTTTTTGTGTGTGTGTGCTGGTCTTTAGGATCTGGATGCTGTCCTTAAGCTTTTTTGTTTAAGGCTAGCATTCTACCACTTGAGCCACAGCTCTTTTTGGTGAATAATTGGAGATAAGAGTCTTACACAGTTTTGTAATTTTTTTTTTTTGGTTGGTCGTGGGGCCTGAACTCTGGGCCTGGGCACTATCCCTCAGCTCTTCAGCTCAAGGCTAGTGCTCTACCACTTGAGCCACAGTGCCACTTCTACCTTTTTCTGCTTATGTGGTGCTGAGGAATTGAACCCAGGGCCTCATTCATGCAAGACAAGCACTCTACCACTGAGCCACCTTCCCAGCATCTTACACATTTTTCTGTCCCTGCTGGCTTTGAACCATGATCCTCAGATCTCAGACTCCTGAATAGCTATCACTGCAGGTATGAGCCACTGGCATCTGGCAGCCTTTACATAAAGTTTGTATGTATGTAGGGATATGTGTATATAAAACCTGGGCTTGAACTCAGAGCCTGAACGTTTCTCCTCAGCTCTTTTGGCCAAGGATTACACTAACTCTTGAGCCACAGCACCACTTCTAACTTTATGCTGATTAATTGGAGTAACATAGACAGGGGCTGGGAAGGTAGCAGAAAAAGCTGAAAGTGGCACTGTGGCTCAAGTAGTAGAGTCCTAGGCTTGAGCTGAAGAGCTGAGGGACAGTGCCCAGGCCCAGAGTTCAGGCCCCACAACTGACCAAAAAAAAAAAAAAGTTACATAGACATTTCTGCCTGTGCTGGCTTTGAATTGAGACTCTGAGTGACAGTCATGAGCTTCTGGCACCCAGCTTAGACAATTTTTAATAGATTTATTGGTAGGTATCTTGTCTCCTTTGTTGCTACTGTGATAAATTTCTTTTCCATTATGAGTTTTTTGCTCTTAACATCCAATCAACCAGATACTAGATGGAAAATTTATATTCATTGTATATGAATCCATACTACATGAATTATATTTATTTTGTACTGTTCTTAACAACATTGCAACCTTGCCAGACTTCTATTGATACTAATGAAAAGTATGTATGTGAATAAAGTGCCAAAGTATATGGACTGTACTTAAACTTTATTTCCGGAGCTGGGAAGGTGGCTCAGTAGTAGAGTGTTTACCTTGCATGCATGAGGCCCTGGATTCAATTCCTCAGTACCAAATAAGCAGAAAAAGCTGGAAGTGGCTCTGTGGCTCAAGTGGTAGAGGGCTAGCCTTGAGCTGAAAAGCTCCCAGAGTTCAGGCCCCACAGCCAAAAAAACAACAACTTTATTTCCATATCTATTGTACACCTTCCAGATGCTGAATATATGAATTCCCCCTTGGTGCCTACATTCTGCACTCCTGGTTTGAAAATTCCTTCTACCAAGAACACAGCTTTGGTAAAGTTTTATATAATAGAAAACTGTATTCTTTGTCCTTATGATTTAAGTTTCGCTACCACTTATAAATTCAAACTGTCTAAAAACTTAGACATCCCCTGTTCATCACCTTTACAATAATTTTTTTAAAGCTTGGACAAATGCAGCTTTTTATAGTATATTTCTAGGATTTTAGCAACCTAGATCAAGATTTTTAAAACTTGTTTTTTTCCCCTTTATAAAAATCTGTTGAAGGCAAATTGAGACATAGATTTATAATGAATTGCAGGGAGAAACAAATAGGAAAATGTGGGGAAAAAATGACACAAGACATTAATCTGGGGTTGCTTGTCATATTTGGAATAACAGAAGAGAATATACAAAAAAGAATGAATAGAAACTCCACAAAGTGTGGTTGTCACTGGGTGACAGACTAATGGCTAACTTTATACTTTTTTTTTTTTTGCCAGTTCTGGGGCTTGAACTTGGGGCCTGGGCACTGTCCCTGAGCTGCTGCTTTTTTTTTTTTTTAACACAGAATAAAACCTTTATTTCCATTTCCTGGAGTTCATTTTGATAAATATTATTTTATATGATCAGATGCACATAGGTATTGTGCTTCTGTGTTCCTTTACTAAGAGTGTCCGCGTTTGGTGTCACTGTGTGTTAATGCCTACGGTCCTGTACAATTTATCGTCCTAGTATATTTTAGCTCTAGCTCCTGAGCTTCTTTTGCTCAAGGCTACCACTCTTAACACTTGAGCCACAAGGCCACTTCTGGTTTTTTGTTTTTGTTGTACTGAGGAATTGAACGATGGCTTCATGCATGCTAGGCAAGTGCTCTACCATTAAGCCACATTCCCAGCCGTATTTTTTTCTTTATATATAACATATAATACTATATTTTCTTTTTTTAATTTTTCAATCATGGAGCTTTAAACTCTGGGCCTGGGCACTATCCCTGAGCTCTTCTCAATGTGGGCATTCTACCACTTGAGCCACAATGCCACTTACAGTTTTCTGGTGGTTACTTGTAGATAAGAATCTCACAACTTTCCTGACTTTCCTGCCCCAGCTGGCTTTGACCCGTGATCCCCAGATCTCAGCCTCCTGAGTAGATAGGGTTACAGGTGTAAGCCACTGGTGCCTGGCCTTATTTAACATTAAAACTGAATCACGCTAACTGTGGGTGGCTCACACCTGTAATCCTAGCTGCCCAGGAGGCTGACATCTAAGGATTGCGGTTCTAAACTAGCCTGGGTAGGAAAGTCTGTGAGACTCTTATCTCCAATTAACCACCAAAAAATTGGAAGTGGTGCTGTGGCTCAAGTGGTAGAACGCTGAAGAGCTGAGGGACAGGGCCCTGGCCCAGAGTTCAAGCCCCATGACCAACAAAAAAAAAAAAAAGAACCACTCTGCCAGGCATCAGTGGCTCAGACCTATTACCCTAGCTACTCAAAGGACTGATATCTGAAGATTGTCTCAAAGCCATCTCCCATGAGAAAGTCCATGAGACTCTTATCTCTAATAAGCCAGAAATGGGGCTGTAGCTCTCAGGTAGTAGAGTGCTAGCTTAGAGCTATGAAAATCAGGAACAGTGCCTAGGCTCTGAGCTCAAGCCCAGAACTAGCACCAAAAAAAACCCAAACTGAACCACTCCTTAGAGGAAGGATGAACACTTCTGACAGTCCTGTTGACAAACAACAGAATTGTTATTGTGGAAATGTTCTGTACTCTGCAATGTCGAGATTAAAATGAGGCTAATGCAGCCTAGGAGTTAATTTGTAATTTAAATTTAAATTTGAACTGTCCTGTGTAGAGTTGGATAGTGTGGACAAAACCATGACTTGTTATCAGTTGCAACCTCTGGTTATCCACTTTCTGGTATTTGCCATTTACAATTAGTTTACAACAGACATTTCTCCTTATGTGTATCTCTTTATTATAACTCTGACCTTAGGGAGACTGAATGACTTCCCTAACTCCAGTTTAGTGTGAGTTACATGCTAAGCTTTTCTCAGATCTGCTCTCTTCCTCTTAGGAGTGACCTGCCTGCTGCAGTCCTGTGCAGACACTTCAGCTTGTCCATACTGACTCCCATCTGCCCCAGTTAGTGTATTACATCAGTGGGTAGAATAGTCCCTCTAAGCTGGAATGCAGTCAGCATTCCATTTCCTCACATTTTATTACAAATGAAGGTAGTACTTTGTCTCCCATACATACTATTTTATTTTTCTTGATGTTGTTTAACACTTGGTCAGGGAAAAAAGGAGTGATCTGGGATGGATACTTAGACCCCAGGAGAACTGACAGTTGACCGACATTTTCTATGTATGACATTATTGACTCATAATTCAATCATTTGTTTTTATTGTATAGGTATCTACAAATTCTCCATTATCAAAAGCAAATAGTTTGTTGAATGATTCAGAAGTTAAAGATTGTGCCTCACTCGTTTTAAGTTCTGATGAATGCTTTGAGAACTTTGCAGATCCCGCCTCTCCAAAAATCACATCTTATGAAAATCTGCTGAGAACCCCTACACCTCCAGAAATAACAGCAATTCCAGAAGATATTCTCCAGGTTATTTTTCCAGGCAATTTTTTTCTTTGTGATATTCTTTTCAAAATCAGTATATTGAAAGACCTTAAACTAGCCAGGCCCAAGTGGCTCACACCTGTAATCCTAGCTAATCAGGAGGGTGAGATCTGAGGACCATGGTTCAAAGCCAAAGCAAGCCCAGGCAGGAAAGTCTGTAGAGTCTTATCTCCAATAAACCAGTCAGAAAACCAGAAGTGGTGCTGTGGTTCAAGTGGTAGAGCGCTCCTCTTGAGCTGAAGAACTGAGAGAACTGAGGGACAGCACCTAGGCCCAGAGATCAAGCACCACAACCGACCAAAAAAAAAAAAAAAACTTCCTTAAGCTGCCTATATACAGTCTTATTTATCATCAGGTTAATGTGCTAGTTTGAGTATTGAGGAAAATCATAAGTTTTAGGATATGAAGCCCTTCTTAATCTATCTGGGAAAGCCTATCCTGAGCACTAGCTAGTATCACCTCAGATTTTTAGCAGTATTACCTTCATAATTACCTGTTACCCTTAATTTGTTTTTCTCTTTAATGTTGTGTTCTGGAATTATTCCTATGGTATTTCCAGTAGTTGCTCAGCTGCAGTTCCATGCTGACCATTGGTCCACTGGAAGTGATACTGGCCAAATGAACTGACACTTCAATTACCCTGCAGCTCTGCAGGCGAGGGTGTCACCAGAAACGTTTAGCAGTGTTTCTTGAACTTGAGCCTTTGGGGACTTCATTTTAAAAACAATGACATTGATATAGGAATGTCTGATTCTATACTATAGCATCCCTTACTGCTATTCTACTACTAACTACTAAATAACCAGTCTGATTCTTTGACGCTGTGTAATGAAAGTCACAGTGTTTGGCAATTGCTTTAGCACATAGAATATTTAGTCTATTTTTTAAAGCCTACATTCATAGCACATGTGGTTTTGTGGTAATTCCATAGATGGGTGCATTGAGCACATTTATCCTATTTAGTATATTACTGTAAAACCTCTCAGTCACATGGAATTTTTATTTTTTATGGTCATGGGGCCTGAACTGGCCTGGGCACTGTCCCTCAGCTATTCAGCTCAGGGCTAGTGCTCTACCACTTGAGCCACAGTGCCACTTCTACCTTTTTCTGCTTTGGTGGTGCTGAGGAATCGAATCCAGGGCCTCATGTAGGCAAGGCAAGCACTCTACCACTGAGCTACCTTCCCAGCCCAAGGCACATGGAATTCTTAATAACCATTCTAGAAATGTCCCTGGATTATGGAGAGCTATGAGAAAGATAAACTACTTGAGGAAAATGCTCAAATACCAGTGGAACTGAATCATCCTAAAATATGAACAAAGTCTGAATTTTTTGTCTTGTGTGTCTGAGAGATTTATAAAGTGAGTGAGACAAATTGAACATGTTGTTTTCATGGGAGTTTAGAGAGCTCCATTTCTCACGGCTCATTCCTTTTTCTCCTTTCCACAGAAGGAAACTGTGCTTTTCTTCCTTGTGCTGGGGGTGGGGAACTCAGGGCCTTATGCATGCCAGGTGAGCACTCTACCACTGAGAGACATCCCCCAGCCTCTAGGAGACCATTTTGTGCATTAAAAATACATTGCTGGTATCTCACATTCTTATAACCAGTCTCATAACTGGTGATTTTTCTTTTGAGCATTTCTTATTTTCCCTGGGAATTTTTTTTTTTTTTTTTTTTTTTTGGTTGGTTGTGGGGCTTGAACTCTGGGCCTGAGTGCTGTCCCTGCGCTCTTCAGCTCAAGGCGAGCACTCTACCACTTGAGCTACAGTGCCACTTCTGGTTTTTGAGTGGTTTATTGGAGGTAAGAGTCTCATGGACCTCAGATCTCAGCCTCCTGCGTAGATAGGATTACAGGCATGAGAAACGGGCGCTCGGCCCCGTGGGTATATTTTCTATAACATCTTTTTAAAGGCTTAATTTTGCGTTCAGGAGTATATCACTATTTGTTTCCATTAACCTCAGTATATCTATGAAGGCTTCAGAAAGCAAAACTTTCCATCCAAATCGAATTTCTATTATCTCCACCTTTTTATTGCTGTTGAATATTTATTGAACTGCTAAGACAATTCTCAGTGTTTTAAGTCTTTTATGTTTAAATTTTTCATGGCTTGAGTGTTTAGAACTTCTTCCAGATTATGTCATTTACACGATTGGTGAAAAGTAATTTGCTTTGTTTTAGATTTTATCAAAATACAACTCAAACCTCACTACTCCAGTAGCAGTGAAAGCAGTGCCTCCCAGGAAAGGGCTCCTCAGATACGAAGGACAGAGCATCAGAGATGCTGGCAACAAGGAAAACTGGTAAAAGTGAGTGAGTGCCATGATAAGCAAAGTTTGAACACTATTTGTGGATTCTGGACATTAGGTGAAAAGTCCATCTCTACCTTTTATATAGAATTGGGGATTGCTGGAGCCCAAATTTCCATATTATCTAGTTTAATTCTGTAAATGTGAGTCTAACCCTATTTCTTTTCCTTTTTTGTTTTTGGTTTTCAGGGTGTGTGTGTGCCTTTTGTGTGTGAATGTGCACACCTGTATGCATAGGAAAAAAAAAAAAAGGCACCAGTGGCTCATGCCTGTAATCCTATCTACTCAAGAGGTTGAGATTTGAGGATCATGGTTCAAAGCCAGCCCTGGCAGGAAAATCCATGACATTCTTATTTCCAATTAGATACAAAGAAAAACTAGAAGTAGAGGTGTGGCTCAAGTGGTAGAGCAAAAAAGCTCCAGGACAGCACCCAGGCCATGTTTAAGCCCAAGACTAGCACACATACATACACATACACAAAAAAAAAAAGACAAAAGAAACCACATCACTTAAATACCGTTGAATATGCCCTTGTACTCAGTGCCTATGCCTATCCCTTACTTTTTTCACTCAAGATTGGTGCTTTACCACTTGAGCCACACCTCTATTTGTTATTTTTCTGGTTAATTGGGCATAGTTTCAGATGTGTCTTCCCAGGCTAGCTTTGAACCTCAGTCCTCCTCAAATTGAATGTCTGGAATGGCTAGGATTACAGATGGAAGCATCCAGTGCCTGGCTAATCCTAGTGGTTTTGTTTTTTGTTTTGTTTTGTTTTGCCAGTTGTGGGGGCTGAACTCTGGGTCTGGGCACTGTCCCTCAGCTCTTCAGCTCAAGGCTAGTGCCCTACCACTAGACCACAGCACTACTTCTGGCTTTTTTCTGCTTATGTGATGCTGAGGAATAGAACCCAAGGCCTCATGCATGCAAGGCAAGCACTCTACCTACCACTGAGCCAACTTCCCAGCCACTAGTTTTGTTTTTTTATAAGTATAAATATTAGAGTTATCATCTGTTCTGTTAATGGCTTTTAATTACCATCTCGACAATTTTATTTGTGTCTGTTTGCAGGAATTCCATTTGGGACCATCCATTGTAGAGCAGACTAAGGTAGAAGCAGAACTGGACTTACACATTCTCCGCCCTCTTGGACAGTGATGGTTAAACATGATTTTTGTGGAGTTTTGATTTGTTTTCAGCTGTCTTGCTGACATTGTTCAGTCATGCAATTTTTAAAGATGATGTTACATTAGCCTACTTAATCTAATAGAATGACTTAAGAAATGTCAGGAATTGGGACAGTTTATAGGATGTAAATGCTACTGCTTATTAGCTACTCTGATCAGACACCTGATCTTGTGACCATGTGGTTGCTGCTATCTGCCAGCTTTGCCCATCTGTTACATGAAACTCCCCTACTTGGGAGTTTGGAAACATAGTGAGTTCCAGGCCAAAGACCCCATTTCAGAAACAAATGCAAAAATAGCCAAAAGGGACGGAGTATGGCTCAAGGGTAGAATCATTGTCTAGCATGAGTGATGCCCTGGCTTCAGTCCCCAGTTCCACAAAACAAAAATACTGAATTGCTATTCACAAACTAGAGAAAGTAAGCTTTAAACTAACATAGGAAAGTGAAGAGGGCGCTTTCTGACATAGGTAACTACCACATTGTACGGTAGAGGTGGCAGGATGTGGCAGCGGGAAGGAGGAAGGAATGCACGGCTGTATGTCTTCTTTCCTACCAGCCTTGCACTGTGGTGGACATTCTCAAGTCAGCATCACATGACTGCTGCCTTCTAGCTTTGCTTTCCAGCTTCACCACACAGCAGATCCTACTCTCCTCTGGAAGGTTCTGACTGACGCTGGGCTAGGGGTCCTTCTGTACATCATCTGGGTTTCTAGAACTGCCTGTCCATCAAGCCTGAGATCCTTCTGATTTAAGAGCTGGAAAGTCATTATCTAACAACTTCATCATAGCTTTTCAAAGTTTGATGTAGATTATTCTTTAATTGTGCTTTGAAAATCAAATTGAGGAAGTGTAATTTCTTTATATAATGAACAATAAATCTTTTTCAAGGTCTAGTTTATATAAAGTCTAGTCCATTTGTGTGTCTGTCTGTCTCCCTGTCTCCCAGGGTTTGATCGTGGGGCCTGAAGGGTGTGAGGAGAGGTACATCTAGCAAGAGAGTGGGATGGATGAGGCTAGGTAGGAAGGAAATGTTTCAAGCAGAGCAATCATTATCAGTTTCCTTATATTGAAAATTCAAATTAAAAGGGACAGTATTGACTGATAGGTTTGGCAAAAAAGTTGACAGTAACAACACTGATGAATTTGAGTGGCTTACTGGAGATTGACGTGTGGAATAGATTGGAAAGAGAGCTGAGGAGTATCCCTACAAGCAGAATTCAAGTCCTGTTCAAGAAGCAAGGAGATAGATGTCAATGGCTGGATGGGATATGGAACAGGGAAGTTTTAAAGTTGGTTCTAGATTAGGCATTTGTTTGCTTGTAAAGGAGCTCCACTTTGATGGTCCTGTTCCTTCAGATTTAGTTTGTCCAAAACTTAGTCCTGTGACTTACCACTTCCTCCTACAAGCCTAGGTTTTGTGATGTAGCATATTCAGCTTCTTAAGCTTCAAATTTTTTGTTTTGTTTTGTTTTTTAAGATGTGTCCTCAGTTCTCTTCAAGTGAAACCCAAGATAAGATCCTTAGCCTAGTCTATGTGACCATGTGGTCTATGCACCAGCCAGCTTCTTCCTTACGTGTACCCTAGTTGCACCACCTTGCAGATTCTTATTTTCCTGCCAGAGGGCTTCGTGCACACATGGCTCTCACTGCTTCACTTATGCCTATTGAGAAGAGCAGACACCTGGTGCTTGCCTGCCTACTACTGCCCTCTTAAAAACTTACAGACCAACTAGGTGCCTGTGGCTCATGCCTACAATATTAGCTACTCAAAAAGCTGAGATCTGAATCAAAGCCAGCCTGGATGGGAAAGTCCTTGATTCTCTATTAGCCACTATCAAGAAAAAACAGCAAGTGGAGCTGTGGCTCAAGTGGTGCAGCACTGGCCTTGAATAAAAATAGTTCAAGTACAGTGCCCAGGTCTTGAATTCAAGGCTCAAGCCCTAGGCCTGGAAACAAAAAAAAAGAAAAGCTGAGCTCTAGCCTCTGGCTGAGCCAAGCATCACTGAGCACACCAGGCAATGATAGGGCTGCTCCCTAAGCCAGCCTGAGTCTGCTGGGATCCCGATTACTGGAAAAGAGCGGTACATTTATTACCTGGAGCTGCTGGTGGTCTCTTGCCAAGGGGAGAATCGTCACCTGTGTGTGAAGACCAGAATGCTAGCAAAAGACAGGTGTGAGGGCTCCAGTCAGCTAGGCTGACATGAGCAGGTCCTGCCCCACATTTCAGCTAAATGGGTCCATAAACAAAAGCTTAACTGAGGTTTTTTTTTTTTCTTTTTTGGCCAGTCCTGTGGCTTAAACTCAGGGCCTGGGCGCACTGTCCCTGAGCATCTTTTGCTCAAGGCTAGTACTCTATCACTTGAGCCACAGCACCACTACCAGCTTTTTCTATTTATGTGGTACTAAGGAATTGAACCTAGGGCTTCATCCATACTAGGCAAGCATTCCACCACTAAGCCGTATTCCCAGCTCCATTGTCATTTCTTTTTTTTTGTGTGTGTGTTCATCCTGGGGTTTGAACTCTGGACCTTGGCACTGTCCCTTAGTTTTTTTGTTCAAGGCTGACACTCCACAGCTTGAGCCACAGTTCCATTTTAACACCCCCTTGGTGGTTCATTGGAGATTGGCTCATGGAAATTCCTGCCCTAGCTGGCTTCCAAGTACAATCCTCAGATCTCAGCCTAAGCAGCTAGGGTCACAGGCATGAGCCAATAGCACCCAGCCTCACTTTAACTTTTATACCACCTTGGATAATATGCTTTAGTTCCTCCTTCCTCAAGTAGTGTACAAATGGGTTTCAGTTCAACATGCCAATTTATGAGTACAAAACATCTTGATCAATGTTACCCTTTCCATCATTCTCCCCCAACTCAACTGATACATTCATTATTGGTACTCAATTTTGAGTGTCACATTACGTGGTAGGACATGTAATAAAATATTTGGACATACGCTTAATCTTTCCAGTGGACCTCAAGCTCAATGTTGGCAAAGTACATTTTTAATTACCCAAGTATACAGCATGTCTATTGAATTATTAATGATAGCAACCAGACATTTCACTAGGTAGGCATGGTTCTAAGTGCTACATATTAATCTCAATTATTGTCTTTTTTTGAAGCAATTGCCTGCTTTTTCAGATAAAAATTGATCACCTCAGGGCTGGGAAGGTGGCTCAGTGGTAGAGCGCTTGCCTTGCATGCATGAGGCCCTGGGTTCGATTCCTCAGCACCACATAAGCAAAAAAAGAAAAAAGCCGGAAGTGGCACTGTGGCTCAAGTGGTAGAGCGCTAGCCTTGAGCTGAAGAGCGGATGGACAGCGCCCAGGCCCAGAGCGGAGGCCCCACAACCGGACCCAAAAAAAAAATTGATCACCTCATGATCAACTTTCTTTTTTTTTTTTGGTCCGGTCGTGGGGCCTGAACTCTGGGCCTGGGAGCTGTCCCTCAGCTCTTCAGCTCAAGGCTAGCGCTCTACCACTTGAGCCACAGTGCCACTTCTGGCTTTTTTCTTTTTTGCTTATGTGGTGCTGAGGAATTGAACCCAGGGCCTCGAGCATGCAAGGCAAGCGCTCTACCACTGAGCCACCTTCCCAGCCCGAGATGATCAACTTTCATCTCCCATTTCCCATCCCAAGTCTTAAGTCTCTGCCTTCTGCTGCTAGAGTTATGCCTAAGTTATTACAACAGCATCTGAAGTTCCTACCTTATCTTCAACTTCTGCCAAAAATAGTACATTAAAAGTTCTGTTGGAGGACTAGAGAAGGTAGCTCTATGATGGAGTACTTGCCTGGCCTGCATGCACACGGCCCAGGGTTTGATTCCTAAAACTTTCTACATACTTCAAACAATCCATTTCATTGCCTACTCCAGGAAATAACTACTGATAAAAATAACCCGTGCCTCAGCTGTAGGCAAACCTGAATACGCAGTCCTTGCTTGGGTTGCTGATCAACCCAAGGAAATATGGAAATCATAGCCATATTTATCTATTAAGATGGGTGTTTGGTCAGGCACTGGAGGCTTATGCCTAACTAACTATGCATGAGGCCCTGGGTTTGATTCCTCAGCACCACATAAGCAAAAAAAAGAAAAAAGCCGTAAGTGGCGCTGTGGCTCAAGTGGTAGAGCGCTAGCCTTGAGCTGAAGAGCTGAGGGACAACACCCAGGCCCAGAGTTCAGGCCCCACAACCAGACCCAAAAAAAAAAAAAAGAAAATATACTTTCTGTAAAAGGGGGCCCCCAGCTCATTCTAATTCTGTCACTGGGTCCCTATACCCACATGCTCCTCTTTTGGAGTGGCAGCCCTTCTTCCTGTAACTGAGAACCAGAATGTCAGGTTTGTAGGGGTGAAGTGAGAGAAGGCATGGTAACATTTCTGCATGATTGGATAGAAAGTAGTAAGGCAAGTCCAGCTCTTTATTTAAAAAAAAAAAGTTGAAGTTTTTGTGAGTTTTCAACCTGGCCTGACAGTTGAGTAGTACTTTTCCCCCCTAACCTAAACTTAGCCATCCCATGCATGTAGAACACACACAACCAATAACAGCAATCCCAGTTATATACTGTGAGACACAGGCAATCAAGTACTGTAACTCACACTTCAGAGGGGAATTTTCAATACCTATGAGGCAGTCAGGCCAGATGTTAAAGCACTGAGCAAGATGCAATCATGGATCACATTCACAAAACAGCTACCATTACTCAAAGCCAGAAGAAAACAAGGCCTAAGTATAACAATTCTTGGCCTTATTATAACAAAGTCACTAGGTATTCTTTACACTTTTGGTGGTACCAACCTTTTAAGGAGAAGTTGCATGTTGAATCAGGCAAGAGTGAAATAAAAAGCCAAACCATTTTAGTGGGAGAATAAACTGGAATTATAGAAGAGCCTTTGTAAGAGTTTACAGCTTTTTCTTTAAAATAGCCTTTAGTTCCCACCCTCTTGATCTACACAGAAAATCTTTTTCCACTACAAGCAGGAAAATAGTTATTCTTCAACAACACAATTTAATTGCCTGCAGAGCACTAAAGCCCATACAGCCTGAGTGGGTAAGCAATCTAAAGGCCTCAGGGTGAACTTACAGCAGCAGCTACAGGTTCAAGGCCTGCCTGCCAACACCAACAGAGGCACCAAGTCTGCAGAATCAGCAGATTCTCAATGGTTTTTTTTCTGTAGACATACAAGATAAAACTAGTATGTTTTTGACAATCACTGATACACAATTTTTCACTTCAGGATATAGTTTTCATTTTCTACCCTAACAGACTACAACTAATAAGGCTTTTACCAATTGCCATGTTTATAAATTTCAATCTAACAGTGCCATGGAAGACAGCATACCAGTTCTGACAAAACTACTATGGCCACTAGCAGATTATTTACACTTTCTGGTCTGCCAAGGCTCTATTCTAAGCTCTTTTTCAAATATTTTACCTGTACTTTTTTTTTGGGGTCCGGTCATGGGACCTGAACTCCAGGCGTGGGCACTGTCCCTCAGCTCTTCAGCTCAAGGCTAGCGCTCTACCTACTTGAGCCACAGCGCCACTTCTGGCTTTTTTCTTTTTGCTTATGTGGTGCTGAGGAATCGAACCCAGGGCCTCATGCAGCATGCAAGGCAAGCGCTCTACCACTGAGCCACCTTCTCAGCCCAACCCCATTCCTATTTTTAAAACCCAAAAGCTCTCTCTCATCATGGCTTCTATAAATTTGGGTCACCACACCAAGTTGCAGGCTCTCCCAACACAGCATTTCTCACACTTGAGTCTTTACTACAAATTCATCCTCAATTTCACACAATCCCACGGCTTTCTTGTTTTGCCCCTGAAGGGCTTAAAATATCCTTCCCTCTACTACTTCCTAAAGACCAGGCTGAAACCCTGCTCCCATGCCCCATTAACTTTCACACTCGGGCTGATTGCACACATATATTTCACAATACAGTTTCACACGGAATGCTAAGAGCACTTTTCTTCATATTTTACAGAAGGGCTTGAAACGTGGACTTTCTAATAATATTCATACTATAGTACATCCAAATCTAACTCCTAAATAGATGTGTTACAATTTTTCAGAATTTAAAGGCTTAATGGCAAAAATCAGGGGAGGAAGAAGTATCTAAGTATCTTATTTTACATAAGTGGCTGAAAAATAAATTCGAGAAGGTAAACAGGATTTAGTAAGGTCTCATCCGCCCTGAAGGAGGCGGTGCTCGGTTGGGAGGGGTAATGGCTATGTCTAAATAATCGCCTATCTGGAACTTCTGCGACTGAAGTGTCATGGAGTCGTCTGTCCCCTTTCTGCCAGACATGGTGCTGCCAATCTCCTTCACTCTGTAGGAAAGGATATTGACAGCAGATCATAATCAATGAAATTAAGATGATAAGGAACTAGATTTACTCCATTATATAAACAGTTCAAAATTTTTAAGTATAATATATACTCTAGTGTATTTCTGTAAAACCTTTCAGGCATGTGGAACACTAGCCAAAAAAGCTGAGGGACAGTGCCTATGCCCAAGTTCAAGCCCCACGACCAACCAGGAAAAAAAAGGAATGCAATGACACTGCCAGATCCTAGCTTCTTAGGAGGCTGAGATCTGATGAGCAGTTTGATGCCAGGCCAGAAAGTCCCTAAGACTGTCAACTGTCAACTCCAATTAACCAGCGAAAAGCTAGAAGTGGAGCTGTGGTTAGCCTTGAACAAAGAGTTCAGGGGCAGAACCCAAGCCCTGAGTCCAAGCCCCACGACTGACCCCCCCCCCCCACAAAAAAAAATTTTTTTTAAGTCATCAGGCATTAGTGACTCATGCCTATAATCCTAGTTACTCTGGAGGCTGAGATTGAAGATCAAAGTTCAAAACCAACCCCAGCACTAAAGTCCATGAGTCGCTTATCTCCAAAAAGCCAATAGTGAAGCTGTGACTCAAATGGTAGAACACTAGCCTTGAGCTGAGTTCAAGCCCCAGAACAAGCATCAAAAAAGGTTCACAAGCCGGCGCCGGTGGCTCACACCTGTAATCCTAGCTACTCAGGAGGCTGAGATCTGAGGATCACAGTTCAAAGCCAGCTCGGGCAGGAAAGTCTGTGAGACTCATCTCCAATAAACAACTAGAAAACCCGAAGTGGTGCTGTGGCTCAAGGGGTAGAGCGCTCGCCTTGAGCTGAAGAGTGCAGGGACAGGGCCCAAGCCTAGAATTCAAACCCCACAACCGACCAAAAAAAAAAAAAAAAGGTTCACAGACCTGTTCTCTACTGAAGAGATTCATATATGGAATTGTCCCAAAGCTAGGCATGGTAGTACATGCTCCTAATCCCAGCATGGTGACCCTTTGAAGGATTAGCCAGCCTACCATGCATGAGGCCCTGGGTTCAATTCCTTGGTAACACATAAACATAAAATTAATAAAAAAGGAAAAATGACCACTAAACATATTTTAAAATAAGATTACCCTTACCCATTAAAACTAACAAAAGTAAACAGATTATAGGAAATAGAAATCACCTACCGATAGCCAGGTCTTTTAAGATCCATAAAAACAATTGCAAAATTGAAGTGTGTACCCTTCTTTCTAGCTTCTGGGTAGACTTCTTTTACTAAACTAGTCAGTTCTTTCAAGGTTGCATCCATCCTGAAATTTTTTGAAGATTTTGATTAATAAGGATATTTACCAACAAGTTACCACATGTATGAGTTGTGACCTATGTTTAGAAACGACTTGGATTTTATATCTAAAGTCTAATTGAAAGCAGTTAACTTAATAGTAACACTATTTGGGTTGGGCGCTAGGAGCTCAGGCCTGTCATCCTAGCTACTCAGGAGGCTTCAAAAGCCAATTAACCACCAGAAAACTGGAAGTGGCACTGTGGCTCAAATGGTAGATAGAGTGCTCGCCTTGAGCTGAAGAGCTCAGGGTCAGTGCCTAAGCCCAGAGTTCAAGCCCCACCAGCCTCAATGTTGAAAATTTCAATGAATTAAAGGTTCTTAGTGCTATCCATGACTTCAGAGACTCAACATGCTAATCCTCTGATGCCATGTAGTATTGTGTGGTTCAGTCTAAACTATCAAATACACAAAACAATTACTTCTAACATATACATAGTCTTCCCTATAGAATCTCTGAAACTGGAATGCATCCTAGAACTGAAGTGCTAGGAAACCATTTTCATACAGCTATGTAGCTTTCCTTTCTTAGATGCAATCTTATGAATTTTATAATGGAATGAGTAGCATTTTCTCAATATAAATCGCAGCCCCTTTATAGGATAGGTACAAAAAAAAACTCTGGAAATATTTGTACTCAGAACTTTATAATCCCTTGAGCTAACAGGATTTCCTTCCACAAGTAGAAAAATGAAACTTAGTCTGAAATTTGAAGCAGCATCTCCCATAGGGCCTACCAGGCACTCAAAGAGAATGACAGTTGGCACACAGCACCACGCACGATTCCATTCCCCAATTAACCCATCTACATGAAGGAAAAATGTCCCTATGAGCACATCTCCTACTGCTCTCCAATCTTTTTTCTTTTACTGGTTCTAGGACTTGAACTCAGCAAGAGCACCACACCTTGAGTTCAAGCCCAGTTACAGGCATCAATAAGCCAATAAATAAAGCCGCCTGGGGCTGCCCTACAGATAAGGGACCTAATTTTCATAATCATTTAAGTAAATTATCTGCAGTAAGTCTCTTACTATCTCTCTCCTACTTTGTTTTCCTGGGTGAAGCCTGACTAAGAGATCTCAGTAATTCTCTTCCATTACCCTCTTCAGTGACCACCCAAAGTACTGAACATGCCCCACTTCTGTGATGACTAGTATACTGCCTCAACTCCATAGAGCTTCGGGCTTTGGCAGATAAACCTGCCATTGTTGGCTCCTCTGGACTCCCCCTACTCCTTCTTCCTTGCCTTGTGTCAGGGTCACCTAATTTATAGGTGATACTCCCCATCCACAATACAATTACAAACAGGAAACAGACAACTGCCTCTGAGTTTAACGTGTACACACTTACTTTTACCTCACTATTCCATGAGCAGTACAATATAGCAACTGTCTAGATAGCATTTACATTGTGCGAGAAATTATTTAAACTCTACTGGAGGATGTATATTAAGTTCTATGTAATACTATGCCATCTTTTCTAAAAGAATTGATCATCTTGAGAGTTCGGTATCCAGGGGAAGTCCAGAACAAACCTTTCACACACAAAGAAAATATCTGAAAAACTGACTTCACAACAAGGAAGGACAGTATTTTTACTTGATTCCCTCAGGACCTAAGTAAAGTAACAGACTGAAAATCCTATCGGTTAGAAGAAATATACTTTTTTGGCAGGAGAAGGGGGCAGTACTAAGGATTGGAAGGGTCATGAACTTAAGTCACATCAATCTTGGCTGAAATACACAACTTAATCTTTGAAGAGATTTTCATCGAGCCACTTAATAATTCTTTCCTGTGAATTAAATCATCTTCCTATAACTTTTACCTTTGAATGAAGCAGAAGTACAAATACCAAGTACAGGGCTAGAAATGTGGCTTAGTGGTAGAGTGCTTGCCTAGCATGCATAAAGCCCTGGGTTTGATTCCTCAGTATCACATAAACAGAAAAAGCCTGAAATCAGGTGCTGTGGCTCAAGTGGCTAAGTGCTAGCCCTGAGCACAGAGAACAGCTCAGGAACAGAGCCCAGGCAATAAGGAAAAAGGAAAAGGAAAAGAAAAAGGAAGGAAAGAAAAAGAGAAAAGGAAAGGGAAGGGAAAGGAAGGGAAGAGAAGGGAAGGAGGGAGGGAAGGGAAGGAGGAAAGGAAGGAGAAAAGAATCAAGGACAAGAATCATTGTACTTACTAGCCAGGCAGGCTATAATCCTAGCTACACAGAAGGCTGACATGAGGATGAAACATGATGAAGGTTTGAAGGTAGTTGGGGCTGACAACCCTAAGACTCTTATTTCTAACTAACTAGTAAAAAGCCAGAAGTGGAGGTATGGCTTAAGTGGCAGAGCACCAGACTTGAGGAAAAGAAGCTAAGGGGGAAGTGGCGCTGTAGCTCAAGTGGTAGAGTGCTCGCCTTGGGCTGAACATCTGAGGGACAGCGCCCAGGCCCAGAGTTCAAGCCCCATGACCAACAAAAAAAAAAAAAGAAGAAGCTAAGGGGAAGCATCCTGGCCCTGAGTTCTAGTCCCAGGACCGACAGACAGACAGACAGACAGACAGACAGACACACACACACACACACACACACACACACACACACACACACACACACGTGACAGAGCATCAGCCTTGAGTAAAAGAAGCTAAGGGGAAGCATCCTGGCCCTGAGTTCTAGTCCCAGGACCCCCCCCCCCCACACACACACACACACACCAGCAATTCCTGTAATCCTAGCTACTCAGGCTGAGATCTCGCACAGAGGCAATGCCTGTAATCCTAGCTACTCAGGAGGCTGAGATATCTCACACACACACACACACACACACACACACTGCCTGTAATCCTAGCTGCTACTCAGGAGGCTGAGATCTGAGGATCATGATGAAACTCCAGTTAACCACCAGAAAACCCAAAATGGTACATTGGTTCAAAATGACAGTGTTAGCTTTCTGCAAGGCTCAGGGAAAGTGCCTAGACCCTGAGGTCATACCTCAAGACCAGCTCAAAATAAACAAAAATAAAATAGTTCAGGTGGCAATCTTCATGTTACTTTTAACCAAAGTTCATGTTACTTTAACAAAAACACATCTTTTGAAATTATACATCAGTGCAAGAAGTCACAGCACTTATTTTTATGGCCCTAGTCAGACCCGGGGCATGGCAGGTATAGCCGGAGATAAAACTCATCTGGAATCCAGGCTTCAATAAACACATACACACATACACACACACACATATAAGAGAAAATCAAAAGCCGGGCGCTGGTGGCTTGCGCCTGTAATCCTAGCTACTCAGGAAGCTGAGATCTGAGGATCACAGTTCAGAGCCAGGCCGGGCAAAGTCCATGAGACTCATCTCCAATAAACCACTAGAAAACCGGAAGTGGCGCTGTGGCTCAAGCGGTAGAGTGCTCTCCTTGAACTAAAAGTGCAGGGACAGCGCCAAAGCCCAGAGTTCAAGCCCCACGACCGGCAAAAAGAAAAAAAAAGAAATGTACTCATTATCTTGCCCAATTGTAATGCCTGTTCAGTATTTTCGCAATAAAAAATATGTAAAAAAGGGGCTGGGAAGGTGGCTCAGTGGTAGAGCGCTTGCCTTGCATGCATGAGGCCCTGGGTTCGATTCCTCAGCACCACATAAGCAAAAAGAAAAAAGCTGGGAGTGGCGCTGTGACTCAAGTGGTAGAGCGCTAGCCTTGAGCTGAAGAGCTGAGGGACAGCGCCCAGGCCCAGAGTTCAGGCCCCATGACCGGACCCAAAAAAAAAAAAAAAAAATGTAAAAAAATAAAATCACCTGGAACCCAGGCTTCAATAAACACATAAACACACACACACGTGTAACAGGAAATAAAATCATATGGAACCCAAGATTCAATAACTACACACATACACCAGACACACCAAGCTTCACTAGACACACACACACACACACACACACACACACACACACACACACACACACACACACACACACAGCATTAAGACTTCGTGATTTATATCCACTCTTCACTTCGGTGCTGTGGTACCGTACCTAAGACTTTGAGGCAGTTAGCCACTCCCACTCCCCCTTGTATTTACTGGTCTCAGAAGCCTTCAAGGGCATGGGAGGGAGAGGGGAATCTCGGGGCTTGAACTCAGGGACTGGGGGGGGGGGGGGACTGTTTCTTAGCTTCTTTTGCTCAAGGATGGTGGTCTACCACTTGGGCCACGGCTCCACTTCTCGTTTTCTGGTGGCTAATTGGAGGTAAGCGTCTCAGACTTTCCTGCCTAGGTTGGCTTCACATCGCCGCCCTCCGATCTCAGCCTCCTGAGCAGCCCTGCAGGCCCGAGGCACCTGGAATCCGGCTCGGCTACCGGGCCGTTTGTGGCCAGGCAGCTTTCATGGGGACGACCACGTTGGACGTGCTGAGCGTGTCTTGTCCTTCGGGATGCGAGGGCATTGGGAGTGAACGGGCCGCCGGCGCGCGCCCCGCCGCCGCAGCCCCCGCCCGGGCCGCGCTCACCAGGTGTAGATCTGCAGCTCGCTGGACGGCACGTTTCCGCGGGAGAACTCGTCCATGCGGTGGTGGCGGCCGTTGTTGGTGGTGAAGACCCGCAGCAGCAGCGGGCACGTCTGGGGAGCACAGGAGAGGGCGGAAGTGACCTTTCCGAGGCGCTCGCCGCGGCCTCCCGGGAGCTCCGGGAGCGACCACAAAAACAAAATGGAACCTGGCCTCCCCCCGCACCCCGGCCCCGCCTGCGCCTCGCGCCAGCCCGCCCCCTCACACCGTGCGGGGCCCTCACCTTCTCACGATCGATTGGCTTCTCAGGCTCCTTCTTGATTTCCTCCTGGGTAACGCGCGATTCCACCGCCATCTTCCTTCTTCGGCCTGGGAGCTGATCGCCGTGACCTCCGACCCCAGCGGCGAGCTTGAGCCTCAGCGCTCTCGCGAGAAGCACGAGGCTTTTTAGAGGGCCGGGGACGGGGCGGGAAGGGGCGGAGTTAGGGCAGAGTCGGGAGAAAAGGCGTGGCGTCGTTAGGCGCATGCGTATTCGCTGTGCGCTGGAGTGCACGTCCAGAGCGCCTGCGCCGCTCCGGAAAAGGCCGGAGTGCGCATGCGTGGGGAGGGACGTCTCTCGGAAGCGCCCTCTGGTCGCTTAGGAGTGAGTCACGTTGTTTGTATTGAAAGTTCCCGGAGAAAAGAGACAAGCGCGTAGTAGGCAGTGAAGGACGGGAACGCCGCGCGCCGAGCGACGTTCTCTGCGGTCGGCACCAACAAAATGCCGTTCTCTTCCTTCTGGTAGGCGGAGGTGGACTCTCCCGCGAAGGCGGCGCCAGGGCTTCTCCTTTCGAGCGGGTCTTGTGTGGAAGAAGCTGGAACAGCCGCCGGCCGGGGCTCGAGCCCGGAATCCTAACTCAGAGAAGGAACGGAAGGACTGACTGGTGAGGAACGGGACCAACGCGTGAGGCAGAACCGCTTTGCGGAGGGACACCTCCAGGTTACATCGAAGCATCCACGGCATGCCGGGAAAGCCGGGATCGCGGGAGGTGCTTCGGCCCAAGGCCTGGCCGGCCAGCGGCTTCGGACGCGTGGAAGGTGTTCCAGCAAACCATGAGTCGAGGATGCGTGCAGGGTGCTTGAGATGTATGATTTGTGAGGAGGACGCTTGGGGTGTGTTTTGGTAAACATGAGTTAAACCCCTCACAAAGGGAAAATCCGCAATGCGGTCTTTGCTTCCAGACTTACTGCTTTGCTTCCTGGAAATTTCCATTTGTGATTTTTGCCTGGTCACTGTCACCACCCGAGTAGTGGGGTGTAGTCCTGCGTGGCTAATACACTCCTTGACCTTTTTATCTGAGTCAGTGGATGCATTTGCAGGAAATACATTTGTAGGAGCTGGGATTCTACAGTAACTAGAGGCTGAGATCTGGGGGTCAAGGTTCAAAGTTAACCCGGGCAGAAAAGTCTCCTCGAGACTCTTTATCTCCAGTAAACCACTCAGAAACCAGAAGTGGCACTGTGGTTCTAGTGGTAGAGCGCTGGACCAGCAAAAGAGCTCGGGGATAGTGCCCGAGCTCTGTTTTCAAGCCCCACGAGCGACTTAAATAAGTAAATTATAGCTGTGCATTTTAGGTACTTATGTATGTGTGCGTTACTTTTTAAAAAATTGTTGAAACTGGGCACCAGTGGCTCACGCCTGTAATCCTAGCTACTCAGGAGGCTGAGATCTGAGGATCACCATTCAAAGCCAGCCCAGGCAGAAAAGTCTGTGAGACTCATCTCCAATTAACCACCAGAAAGCCTTAAGTGGTGATGTGGCTCAAGTGGTAGAGCACTAGCCTTGAGCTGAAGAGCTCAGAGACAGTGCCGAGGCCCACAGTTCAAGCCCCACGACCGACCCCCCCCCCCCCAAAAAAAAGTATTAAATGGCTTAGGATGAAATGGTGGCATGCATGCAATATTCAGTGGTTTTTGTTGTTTTTTTTTAGATAGCGTTTCAGTCCCTCTCCGTTCTGATTTTTTTTTTTTTTTTGCCGGTCCTAGGGCTTGAACTCAGGGTCTAGGCTCTGTCCCTGAGCCTTTCTGTGCTCCAGGCTAGCATTATGAGGACTCAAACCCAGAAATTAATGCATGCTAGGAGAGCACACTACTGATAAGCCACATACCAAATCTTTTTCAAAACTTCCATAGTGTGAACATCTGACACAAGAGGGCACTCTAATCAATTAAAAGAAAAACTACAAAAATGAAGAAATAGCCCCCCACCCCAATCCTGGGGCTGAGCCTGGTCCCTGAGCTTCTTTTGCTCAAGGCTCTACCACTGGAGCTACAGTGCCATTTCCAGCTTTTTCTGAGTAGTTAATTGTAGGTAAGAGCCTCATGTACTTTCCTGCCCCATCTGGCTTCAAACCACCATCCTAAGATCTTAGCCTCCTGAGTAGCTGGAATTATAGTGCCTGGCAAGCAGTACTTTCTCTTTCTTTTTTTTTGTCGGTCATGGAGCCTGAACTCTGGGCCTGGAAACTGTCCCTCAGCTCTTCAGCTCAAGCCTAGCACTCTACCACTTGAGCCACAGTGCCACTTCCAGCTTTTTCTGCTTATGTGGTGCTGTGGAATCGAACCCAGGGCCTCATGCATGCAAGGCAAGCACTCCAACACTCCACATTCCCAGCCCGCAATACAATTTTATTGATGATGATATCAGTGAGATTTCATTTCTTAGATACAAGATCTCATTTTTGAACCTTTCCAAATCATTAAAATGCAGTTTTCTAATACTGTGAGTCAGTAGAAATGCAGTTGTTTTAGACTAGTTAGGATAGTTTTTCAGCATCCTACAATCCATGGCTAATATTTGGCTTTGTCATACCACATTTAAACACAAATTACACCTGAGCGCCAGTGTCTCATGCCTGTAAGCCTAGCTACTCAGGAGGCTTAGATCTGTGGATCACAGTTCAAAGCCAGCCCAGGCAGGAAAGTCTATGAGACTCTTATCTCCAATAAACCACCAGAAAACCCGAAGTGGTGCTGTGGCTCAAGTGGTAGACCACTAGCCTTGAGCTGATGAGCTCAAGCCCCATGACCAACAAAAAGCAACAACCAAAAAAATATTTTAAAGACCACAAATTATATTATTTAAGTGTGTGCATTACTTTATTTTCACTTTTTATGTCTGTACTTGGGCTTGACCTCAGGGTTTTGTGTTCTTGCTTAGCTGTATTATGTTTAGCTTTTTCTGCTTAAAGCTGGTATTCTGGTGGTTAATTAGAGATAAGAGACTCACAGGGACTTTTCTGCCTGGGCTGGTTTCAAACCATAGTCCTCAGATCTCAGCCTCCTGAGTAGCTAGGATTACAGGTGTGAGCCCCCAGTGCCCAACTTTTATTTACTTTTTTATTTTGATAAAAACTAAGGCCAGGTGCCAGTATCAGCACAAAGAAAAAAGTTATAGATCATACATTTGGATCTCCTGGGGAATTATTAAAGTTTTTCAAATTTCTAAAATGATACTCTCTCAAGTAAATCTGTGGCATACAGAATTTATAAGCACAATATTTTCAGAGTTCTATTCCAGTAAGAATTGTAAGCAAATAATCTCAGTAAAGCTTGTTACAAGAAATAAAAGAACCAATGTAATACTGAAAACCCAGAAATGAACCCACAGACCTGTAGCCATCTGATCTTCGATAAGGGAGCTAAAAAAATAGAATGGAAGAAAGACAGCCTTTTCAGTAAATGGTGCTGGCAAAATTTGTTAATTACTTGTAGAAAACTAAAGCTAGATCCTTATATATCATCCTGCACCAGAATCAACTCCAAATGGATCAAAGACTTGGGAGTCAAAACAGACACTCTGAAAACATTACAGGATGGAATAGGAGAAACCCTAGGTCTCCTTGGCACAGGCCGAAATTTTCTTAAAAAAGACCCAGAAACACAACAAATCAAAGAAAGGTTGGACAAATGGGATTGCATGAAATTGCAGAGCTTCTGCATGGCAAAGGACATAGCTTGGTAGATCAATAGAGAGCCCACAGATTGGGAGAAGATCTTCGTTAGCCATACAATGGACAAGGGTCTCATATCTAAAATATACCTGGAACTCAAAAAATTAAATCCCCCAACAACAAATCCTCAAAGAAGCAACTGCCCAATAAATAAGTGGGCTCAAGACTTAAAGAGAAACTTCTCTGAAGAGGAAAGAAGGATGGCCAATAGACACATGAAGAAATGCTCAACCTCCCTAGCCATAAAAGAAATGCAGATCAAAACAACATTGAGATACCACCTCACCCCAGTTAGAATGGCTATAATCAAGAACTCTACTAACAACAGATGCTGGAGGGGATGTGGACAGAAGGGAACCCTAATGCATTGTTGGTGGCAGTGGAAACTTGTTCAACCACTTTGGAAAGCAGTATGGAGGTTCCTCAAAGGACTCCACATAGAGCTCCCCTACAACCCAGCAATCTCACTTTTGGGCATTTACCCCAGTGATCACAAACAAGACCATACTAAAGCTACCAGCACAACTATGTTTATTGCAGCATTATTTACCATAGCTAAGATAAGGAAGCAACCCAGATGCCCTTCAGTAGATGAATGGATCAAGAAAATGTGGTATATACACAATGGAATTCTATGCCTCCATCAGAAAGAATGACATTGCCCCATTTGTTAGGAAATGGAAAGACTTGGAAAAAATTATATTAAGTGAAGTAAGCCAGGCCCAAAGAAACATAGGTCCCATGGTTTCCCTTATTTGCAACTACTAGTATATGTCTGAGACAAGCAAAAAAGGTCAGATAAGTTGATGTTAGTCAAAATGAACCCCAAGATAAGGACTCAAATTTTTTTTCTTTCTTGTTATTGTTTCTAACATTTATAAGATATTCCTTTGTTGCTTTGTATGTCCTTCCCCCACGGTATAACCCCTGTTATCACTGTATTTGATATTGGTATAATTTGTGGAGGGGAAGGGAAAAAACAAATTGTTTAAATAGGGATACAGGTGGACCCATTGCAACAATGAGATGTACAAGACGTTATATTGAAAAACGATCTTTACAGTTTTGATGCAGGGGGATGGGAAGGGATGGAAAGGGGAAACAAAGGAGGAGGCAACAATGCTTGATAAGAAATATACTCATTACCTTGCCCATGTAATTATAACCCTCTGTACGGATTTTCACAATAAAAAATAAATAAAAGAAGCTAGGTGTTGGTGGCTCATGCCTGTAATCCTAGCTACTCAGGAGGCTGAGATCTGAGGATCCCAGTTCAAAGCCAGGCCGGGCAGGAAAGTCCATGAGACTCTTATCTCCAATAAATCACTCAGAAAACCAGAAGTGGGGCTGTGGCTCAAGTGGTAGAGTGCTTGCCTTGAGCTGAAGAGCTGAGGGATAGCCCCCATGCATAGAGTTCAAACCCCACAA